CCCACAATGGTAGTTTCAATAAATATTACCAATTTTTACACCAATATGCAAGGTAATAATTTCATATAGTAAAATCACCAAATGTTGGAATTCAACATTATGACTCCTCTTGAATTTATATTGAATTAAATCTGTGCTCGTGCAGAAAGGCATATTTAATCATATATCAAGCTTAACAAGCAGCAAGCATAACTCTATTTATTGATTTTGTGTTCATCATATCAAAATGTTATGCTTTCAATATGCCAACATGCCCATACTCTTTCTTCATATATATCTGAAGAACCTACATATTTTCCCGAAGAGATTACCAAAATGGCATGACACATGACAAGAAAACTACAATCATTGCTCCACTGATCATCCTCTCTTGTGGCTGATTTTTCTCCTTTCCCTTAGCATGAGATCATCTTCCTAGAATGTTAGGGGGAGAATCGACTGCTTTTTGCTCAATCCTTGGTTACACTGGTAGACTCTCTCTACCATTAGTCCTTCATGGTACATGCTCCATCACTTACAAAATCATAGGAAACACTTTATGAAAGGTGGACATACATTATAGCATACGCAATTTAATAACTCATATTTATTTTCTCTATGGATTGATATGGAATTACTATGATACCTAGTACTTTTAGATGTTCTTCTCCAAAGACTTAGATGATATCATCCTCATATTCTAACAAATATGAGGGCATGTCTTTCATGAGTCAAGGTCCAAGGCTATGGTAGAGGTAATCATTTTAATCATTTTCAATGTTTTCCTATCTTAACTATGCTCATTGTTGTTCTTGATGGCTTCTTGCTCTTTTAATATAGAAACTCAAAATCAGTGACTAAGACAAAGATTGACACTAAACTCTTAGATGCACCAAGGGACAATTTCATGAGCTGAGGTTATTGTATCTTGGCGATAGAGTACTGACGTGACTTAGTCGTTGTATACTAAATCACGCAAATTTAAAATTTATAAAACTAGAAAATATAAATTTTCGGATATTTAGAAGTATTTATGAACAAATATATCAATTATAATTCAATAAAACTTCCAAAAATAGCGGTAATTTTCCAGGTCGATCACATGGATGTAATATAATATCTGGTAATTATTCAGAATTTTCCTCAAAGAATAATATTTTCTATGAATTTTATACTAGGAATGAAAAAGAAATATATTTAAAATTCACGAAAAATAAAAATAAGGGTGAGGACGTCAGGATGACGTCAGCGCCTGACGAATGCGAATTGGGCGAAAATAGAGTTCCCCCCGGCGATTCTTACGTAAGCGAGTACATACGATTTAATTGATCAAATTAAGATCTGTAAAAGTCGAAAGAATCGTAATAGAATGAAGTATATCTTGGTAAATTTGAATCACATAAATTATCACTAAATGAAGCGAAAGTTAAGTTGAAAGCAAGAAAGTAGGAAAACAGAGTTCCAACATCGCATTGGTGATGCATCTGAATCCTGAGTGTTCGGGAGGATCGTCATGTAGTGTCCACGACCTCGAAGGCTCTCCTTGGACAAGGACGACGTGGGCAATCTCTAGATCTCCTTGCGAAGTCTAGAGATCAGCCGTCGAATCGTCTCCGACAGCTGTCACCCAGCAGAGTAGAAAAACGGCGACTTTGCGGCTCTCTGGCGGCTGTCACATGATGGAGAGGAATTGGATGGAGATGGGACGTGTGTTAGGGAGCTTCATCCTCAGGTCCGCGCAGCAAGAAGAGGCTCTTCATCGCATCTGGTATGCTCTCAGGAGGTGGCGACTCATTTCCCAGTAGATCGTCCTCTTCCCGACGATGGCTTGTTCGTCGATCAATCAGAGATGATTTACTCGATGGATTCCAATCCGTTTATTACGAATCGTTTGGCAATTTTAGTAACAATGCTCCACAAATCATGTTGATGACATTTTTGCCGATGATCCAACAATTCTGATTGCTTAATCCTTCACCGACAATCTATAGGAAAGTTGCGATAATCAGATAAAAAAATATAAATTTTGGCTCTAGGAGGATTTGAACCCGCACCGGTTGCTCGCCCTTTTTGGGGAAGGTGACGCAGGTTTAGTTGCACATCGCTTGTGCGCTAAATTTTCGGGCGAATATATAGTAATGTTACATTTACAAGCAAGTCCTTTTCTCGCGCGTGTATGACCACTCCTTGCCCCACAGCCGACTGGCCACCGGTGACGTGGAAAGGGGGTGGCGCACACGTGCCCCTATCGGTCCAAGCCGCTCGAGCCCTTACTCGCAGCTACTCCCCGACTGCACTTCCGACCGGCTTGCGGGCCCGGCTGGCCAGTGGGTCCCCCCCATTTTGTTTTTTTAATTTTTATTTCTTTTTCTTCATTTATCTCAAAAGTAAGACTATAAAAATCATATAAATTCATATAAAATCACATAATTACCCAAAAATTCACGTTAATCAATTGAAAACCACTTTTCATACTTTAACACAAATATAAGTTTATTTATCATGAGTTAAGGTTAAAACTATATTATTTACTAATTATTAACTCATGATAATGAAGACTTATCAAGCACCAGAACTATCAAACATTATAGATGAAAAGTTTCTCATAAAGCACAACACCACCCTGATTGATGTACTTCAAGAAAAAACTTGCTTCTTAACATCATCTCTAGCTTCAGCACAAATATTTTAATGATATAATTTGATTCCATCTTAATTAAATCTCCTTTTACCTTGGCTTGATGAACTATTTATAGTGAGGATTAGCCAATGCAAGCTGCAACCTGTCCTATTTATGTCATCATTGTCATCATTGAAAGACATTATTGTCATTAGTGTCATCATTGTCCCCACTTTTAAACTCATTCTCTTCCCTCTCCCTCCCCACCTATTTATGTGCACATGTCCTATCATTAATGATAGTTGGCCTCCTTATATATCCGATTGATGTGAACATAGAAAGGTAGGAATACCAACAATGGAATAGTAATAAAAAATAGTGTTAACCACAAAAATGGATGTTTACATATAATCACATAAAAAATTGCAATGACAAGATTGTACACAGGTGAGCATATGAAAAATAAGTCATTCAGCATGATCCACATAGTATATGGAAATCCTCTTGTAATTATAGAGGGAGAAAATGATATTTCTGTAGATAAAAGAACCAAAGAGAATTTTACAAGACAGTTAGATCTTTTTCCTCTAAATGATGTTGAATATTTTTCTCCTTAAGGTGGTGTGCTCCAATAAACCTCACATTTCTGGGCAAGACACCAACCAAACTAATAGGGGAATTAGTTCAACTCCATCATGAAAAAAAGGTGTTGGATTAGTGCTTTGATGCCAATTTTCTTCATTAACTGTTGTAATCAAAGTAGTTTTCTAATACTAGTGACAATACTTCCTATTCAACTTCAGCAACCAACCTTGATATTGTTGATTATTTCCTTGTCCTTCAAGAGACCAATGATTCTTTTAGAAAAATGAAAATTTCAGTGATTCATTTGTGAGAATTAGAAGTAGCCCAATTTGCATCTAAGAATGTTTAGATTTATAAAGAGATTGAAGAAAATAGTAAAAACTAGTGATCAAAAGTTTACATGAAATATCAAAACATATGATGCATTGTTGTCAAATGGGGATGTTTGTGTACTGCAAAGGTTAAGTACAAAAACCTGCCAATTAATTTCCAATGTATGATGGATTTTATACAGTTCTTTCTAGTTGTGACATTGAGTTATGATTGAAGGTATAGATGAACAACTGTAAGTTTAGAATCAAGAAAGTCACTATCTTCAAATCATTGCAAAGTATAAAAGTATTAAGACAACCATCCATGTTAAAGAATGTGAAATTTCTAAACCCAAAAAATACTTCCAATCATCAAAATATTTAATTTTATATTGGGTATGCAAGAAAGCAATCACAATATTAATGATTGAAAGTGAATGTCTAGTACAATAGTACTACTTGAAACGAATGGAGCACAAATGAAGAACTAGAGTCATTTATAAACAAGAAATAATTGGACTTGAATTAACTGTATCTAAATTAGATTAATAAAGTAGATAATTTGAAATATCATCATGCAAATATTTGTCAAAAACCATAAATTGACTCATGTAATTTACAAATGAATTTACCATGATAGTCACGAAGCTATTACTATAATATCTCAAACGTAATTTCATGTAAACTTCTTCAAATAAATCTCCATTGAAAAAATCGCTATTGTCATCTAATTGAACAAGATGTAAACTTTTTCGATGAAGTGGATACCACTAGTTTAGTAATCACAGATTTTACAACTACGATATAGGTTATAAGAAAATCAACTCCTTATTAGGTGTATGCATTGAAAACTAATCAAAATTTTGCCACCAGTACTGCAAAAAGTATCTACTTACATTAGTAAATGCAGCACTTTTGGATCAGAGAGTCTCTCCGAGTACATTTCTTTTGTTATGACAAACGTGCCCTTAATAGTATTTTCAATCCAACCTTTCATTAGTGAGCAAAACAGAAAAATAGAAGCGAGAGAGGAGAGAGACGGATGTGAGTCAGTTTCGTAAAAAGTAGGGAAACGGCGCAAATGTTTGACGTTTCACCAGTACAATAACAGCACCCCACACGGTGGAGTAGACGGCGGAGCCGGCTGCATAGTAAACCTTTCCAAACCAGAGTTGGTACGTGGCACACCGTTGGAAACATGAGACCCGGAGACGGCGAGTAGGAAAACCGGCGAATCTGTTGGTAGCGGCGCCGCGGAGCCATCTAAGAGACTGCCACGAACAAAAAGCATTGGCTTGGATAAATTACTGATAAGACAGTCATTTACGTACAAGTATACCATGAACAACAAATAATTCATCTTAATTTCGTTGTGGAGCGCCCAAATGAGGCGCTTTCATCCACTGCAAAGAATGGATAAAGAATTCAACCGAAGATAAGTAAGGCCGAGGATGTAAACCGGCATCACCATCGCGCCGAAGGGCAGCGTTCGCTGTTCATGCCGGTCACAGCTTATTGCTGTACCAGAACACTCCGCTCTTGTCCGAGCCTTGGTCAGGTTGGACGAAGAGGCACTCGTTCGCCTCCCTCCACATCGCCTTGAGGACGGGAGTCCGGTCGAACTGGTAGTACTCCCCGAGAATGGGCCGGATGGCCCGGGTGGCCTCCAGGGCGTGGTAGTGAGGCATTTTGGAGAAGAGGTGGTGCGCCACGTGCGTCTCCGTGAAGTTATGCAGCACTTTGTTGAGCACCGGACCGAAATCCCTGTCCACAGTCGCCAGGGCCCCCTTGAACCATTCCCACTCCGATGAGTCGTAGTGGGGGAGCGAGGGGTGCGTGTGCTGCAGGTACGACGTCACCACGATGAAGCCGTTGGCCACCATCCAGGGAAGCACGTACAGCCCGACGACGGCAGCTGGAGAATAGGCGGCGCAGAGCTTCAGGAGGAGTGCGACCGTTGCGAGGACGCCAAGGTCGGAGATGATCACTTGGGTCCTCTCGCGGTCGTTGTAGATGGGGCCGTAGGGATCGTAGTGGCTGGCAAAACGGTCGTAGAAGCGGCTCTCGATGTTGAAGGCCAGGTACAGCGGCCAGCCGACCGTGAGCGCGACCAGCCAGCCGACGACACGGCCGAGGGGGTTGTTCTGGTACTTGGCCAGGGGGGACAGGTTGGGCTTGGTCTTGGGGACCCACACCTCGTCGAGGTCGATGTTGTTGGTGTTGGTGTGGTGGTGGCGGTGGCTGTACTTCCAGGAGAAGTAAGGGATGAGGAGAGCGGAGTGGAGCACCATTCCGACGATGTCGTCGAGGAGGGCGTAGGGAGAGAAGGCGTTGTGGCCGCACTCGTGGCCGAGGATCCAAAGGGCCGTGAGCACGGCGCCCTGTGCGGCCCAGTACACCGGCCACGCGACGATCTGAAGTCGCGAGGGGAGGAGGGGGATGAAGCTGATTGCGAGGTAGAGAAGCGTAGCGGAGAGGATGAGGTCTCTTGCGAGGTGAGAGAAGGAACGGAGGGCTGATCGTTCGAAACAGTGAGGCGGGATGGCCCTCTTGAGATCGCCGAGGGTAAAGGGCGGTTTCTCCGCCGGGAAGCGGTGGACGGCACCGAAACCCTTCCGTTTCCCTTTGTTAGAGTATCGGGACAGTGGGCGGCTCTCCTCCTCTGCGAACATCCTGCCGCCGGCGCCCATCCTTCTCAGACGGGTCGAAGAGCAGTATAGCAGGGGATTGCAGCTGGAGGAGGACGAGAAAACTTACTTACGTAACCAATGGGGGGTTGGTTGTGCTCTGCTTTGAACTCCGAGCTGCCTCTATTTGTAGTCTCGAGGGCGACGGCCATTTTGGCGTAGGAGGCAGAGATGACTCGTGTTCTTGACTTCATGTAGGCGGCGATGGAAGAATCAAATACTCTGGCCCTCGGTCATCGTCGGACAACGACGACCGTTGAAGTTTGACAGTTTGTATACTGTCCCCTCATGCAGTGTGGACATCGTCAGTCTACTCTGGTTGGCGACACGAGTGTCTCTCAGCACTCGTATTACGAGACGCAGCCATGCAATTCCCGGGGCAGACGGCAACTTTGCCACGCAGGGTTGAATGAACTTTTTTTCCATAATAATTAAAAACGCTCATTTCACTGGTTTTTTGTATTATTCGTAACTCATCAACACGTGGAGGGGATTTAGGGGTCAATTCCTGCACACGGTGACTTTCGGATTGGAGTATTCGACGGACCTGACATGTGGATATTCAACTGGGGTGGGTGCCCATGCGGGCAGTCCCTCACACCTTGTACTGAAATTCGCAACTCTGTTGTCATTCCAGCTTCAACCAATTAACCAATGAGTTGAAGCCTTGTAGTTTTGAACCTTAAATAGTATTTATAATATGATACAAAGCTTATAATAATTATATTTGCAGCTATGACATACGTCTCATGAATAGTTTATCATTTTCTGTTCATTCCATTCAAAGTATGTCAGATGGTATTAAAACTTAGGTCATGTTTAATTGTAGTAGTTTATCAGATGAAGTGCGTGATTCTATATTTTGTTTACTCTAAAAATATTGGCATGTCTATATCAGTCAATATAGTACACTATTTCAAATGTCTATATCTATGAACATGGCTTACAAGATAGAGACATTAAGTCATAGCATACAATAACATATGGACCAAATTGTTATGAATGAAAAATGATAATCTCTTTTATTAAATTCTGGTGGTTGTTCTAGGAAAGGATTAGATAACCCTCAAAAGAACTTCGAATTATGAGTATTCATAAACAAAAATTTTAGATGATGTGTGTTGTTGCCTTTGTTAGCCTTAATTATCCTATAAGGTTTTGACAATGACAGACACACATAATATGTATCAAGTAATACTAATAATTCTGTTTTTATATCATACATGAGTAGTCATCAGGACATCTACACGAAGTTAATTAATGATAAAAACATATATAATTTAGATACTAAATTTTGAAAAGATAATCAATTTATGTGATTCTCATATTCGGAATTTTGTAATTATGATAAATTTTCCACTTCAAATCATTAATTTCTATTAGTGAAACTATCAATAATTATGAAAATTGCTTCTCACTAAAAAGTAATTGAAAATTTGGGTTTAATGTGAATGTTGGAAGTAAAATATTGGTACAAAAATTTCTAAACTAAAATTTTATGATATGAAATTATTACTGCTTATCAAGTTTATGGGGAATTTAATAATTGAATATGCAATGTTTAAATGGTTATCTAAACTTGTCCAAATATTGATTTGAAAATGATTTCAAGATATCATAAATTATGGAAATAAATATATAAATAAAAGAATGATATGAGGATTTTTATGTCTACTATTTAATCACTTTTTATTGTAAATGATTTGAATTTACTTTTATTGTAAACTTATTACTTCATAAAGTTATTTGTGGTTCTATTTTAACAAAAACATATTTCTATCGAATATGCTAGAACTATTAGCCTCATACATATATATATTAAATTTAAAGGTTATGTTTATTGGTTTAACTTTAAAGGATATACAAATCATCATAGGATGGGTCATATCTATTTCTGACAATGGTCATTCGTTAAGAGAAAGGCTGCAATTCCTTTCCTCTATGCATCTGTTATGGCAAATAGGACCACTTGTCTAAGAAACGTTGGAAATAGTTTGAGAAACTTAATTTTACCCAATCAGCTCTTTTGCCTCATTCATCAGCTTCTTCAGCACCATCTAATATCCCATCTCTAACTTTTTAGGTGACATTAACCTTTGTCAAGTATGAATCACTATGTCACTCTAGTGATGCCATGACTCATTCCTCAACCAATCTGGCCTTGTTTTCGAATCCTTCCATGTCTAATACACACGTTCTCTTTACATCTTCATCTTCACCATAGATTATTGACTTAGGGGCCTCCACCTATATGACCGACACACCCACTATTTTATCATCATACTAGTCTAATCCTCATCATCCACTAGTTACCATTGCCAATAGCTAGACTTGTCTGGTCAATAGATATGATAATACTATTGTTACCCCAATTATTCATCTCACCTAGGTTCTTTATATTCTTAAGTTTCTTACTAATTTCTGATCTATCAGTATTATTAGTTGAGCCATTCTTTGTTCTATTATATTTTTCTTTTTTCATTATACCTTTTAGGATATATATCAAATAAAGAATTAGTTTGGGGTGTGAAAATGGACGAGGTGTCTATGAGCTAATTTTTAATGAACCTTTTTTTGGTGTTCGGGCTTTTTTTGTTTCCTCTATGGCTACTTCATCTCTTTTGTGGCATCATTAATAAATCTAAATTTAAGGGTTTTGATAAGTCTTCATTATCATGAGTTAATAATTAGTAAATAATATAGCTTTAGTCTTAACTCGTGATAAATAGACTTATCTTTGTGTTAAAGTGTGAAAAGTGGTTTTCAGTTGATTAATGTGATTTTTTTGGGTAATTATGTGATTTTATACGAATTTATATGATTTTTACAGTCTTACTTTTGAGATAAATGAAGAAAAAGAAATAAAACTAAAATATTGCAAAATGGGGGGACCCGCCGGCCAGCCGGGCCTACAAGCGGGTCGAAAGCTCAGTCGAGGAGTAGCCGCGAGCAGGGGCTCGAGCAGCTTGGACCGAAAGAGGCACGTGTGCGCCACCACTCCCCTTCCACATCACCGGTGGCCAGCCGGCTGTGGGGCAAGGAGTGGTCGTACACGCGAGAGAAGGAACTTTGCTTAGAAATGTAATATTACTATATATTTGCCCGAAAAATTGACACACAACCGATGTGAGACTAAACCCGCGTATCACCTTCCTCAGAAGGGGCAGACAACTAGCGCGGGTTCGAATCCTCCTAGAGTCAAAAGTCATATATTTTTATCTAATTATCGCGACTTTCCTGCAGATCGCTAGTGAAGGATTAAGTAACGAGAATCGCTAGATCATCGGCGAAAATCTCGTCAACACGATTCGCAGAGCATTGCTACTAAAATTGCTGAACGATTCGCGATAAAAGGATCGCGAATCCATTGAGTAAATCATCTCCAATTGATCGACGAACAAGCCGTCGTCGGGAAGAGGATGATCCACCAGGAGACGAGTCGCCACCTCCTAAGACCGTACCAGATGCGATGAAGAGCCTCCTCTTGCTGTGCGGACCTAAGGATGAAGCTCCCTGACACGCGCTCCACCTCCATCTAGCTCCTCTCCGTCGGGTAATAGCCGCCAGAGAGCCGCAAAGTCGCCGTTTTTCCGCTCCGCCGGGTGACAGCCGCCGAAGATGACTCGACGACCCATTTCATTAATCTCTAGACTTCGCGAGAAGATCTAGAGATTGCCCACGTCGTCTTTGTCCAAGGAGAGCCTTCGAGGCCATGGACACTGCACGACGATCCTCCCGAATGCTCAGGATTCCGGTGCATCGTCGACGCATCGCCGTCGCGACGCCGAAACACTATTTTCTTGCTTTCAACTTAATTTTCATTTCATTTAGTGATAATTTGTTGATTTTAAATTTACCAACATATACTTCATTTCATTACGATTCTTCCGTCTTTTACAGATCTTAATTTGATCAATTAAATTGTTTGTAATCGCTTACGTAAGAATCGCCGGGCGGAACTCTGTTTCTGCCCGATTTGCGTTCGTCGGGCGATGACGTCATCCTGACGCCCGCACCCTTATTTCCTTTTTTCGTGAATTTTAAATATATTTCCTTTTCATTTCTTAGTATAAAATTCATATAAAATATTATTCTCTGAGAAAAATTCTGAATAATTACCAGATATTATATTACATCCCTGTGATCGACTTGGAAAATTACCGCTATTTGTGGAAGTTTTATTGAATTATAATTGATATATTTTTTCAGAAATACTTCTAAATATCCGAAAATTCGTATTTTCTAGTTTTATAAATTTTATATTTGTGTGATTTAATATACAACAACTAAGTCACGTCAAATTTTGGTGCCGTTGCCGGGGATGTATTGCATAATATTTAGTATTTTTCTGTTTTTCTCTTAGAGTACACAAAAAAAATAAAATTAACTCTTATTTTATTTTCTTCTTGCCGAATTTATTTATTTTTAGAAAAAGGGAATGAAAAGAAACAAGGCAAGAACTGGAGCATACTGAAGGAGGGTAACAATTACTAAACTTTTCCCTCAAATTTATTGATTTTTTTATGCATGGTAGAAGATCCTTGCATCCAAGGCTAGAAAATCCTTTCATTATTTCATTCAAAACTAAAAATCCGAAAGAAAAATTAATTTTGATAGATCCTGAAGGAAGTACAGGTCAAACTAAGAACAATCCTATGGCCATGAAAAATTATTATATCCCTGATTCATTTCAAAGAGCATCCAATATTAGAGTCCCATTAGCACCCAATGTTAAATTCGAAATAAATCCAAGAATTTTTCAAATGCTCCCTAATTTTCATGGATTGCCTTTAGAAGAACCTCATCAGCACTTAGAAAAATTTCATATGGTCTGTGATTTAGTTAATCTCCCTCAAGTTACACCGAAAATTATTAAGATGAAATTATTTCCTCATACACTTAGGGACAAAGCTAGCCATTGGCTATCCACATTAGATAGAGAATTAACTAGCTGGAAAGACATAGAACAAGTCTTTCTTCGAAAATTTTATCCCTTAGGAAAAACTCAAAATATGAGAAAACATATATGGAGTTTTTCTCAAAGACCAGGAGAAACTTTACATGAGACATGGAAAACATTCAAAAATTTACTTAGAAAGTGTCATCATCATGCTATACCCAAGTGACAGCTCAATAGAATTTTTTATGATGGATTATTAGAACAACATAGAAATATGGTTGATTCTATATGTGGAGGAGCTTTTATGGAGAAAACTCCTGATGAGATTTATAGTCTTTATGAGAATTTAAGTGAAAATTCTAGAGATCAAGCCTCTTTTGAATTATATGACAGGGATAAGAAGAGAGGAATTTATGAATTGCATCATGATGATGATTCTAAACTTAGAAATGAGGTTAATCAGATTAATCAAAGATTAGAAAAAATTGATTTACTTATTGACAATATTAGAAAGCCTTTTAACCCTCAACTTAATTTGAATAGTACATGTCCTATGTATGGTGAAAATGATTATTCTGAATTTCAATGTTATAACTTAGATCAATCATTTCACCTTATGCAAGAACAAGTGCAAGTAGCATACGGTTTTAATAGAAATAGGGAACCTTTTTCAAATTCTTATAATCCTAATTGGAGGAATAATTTTTCATGAAGAGACCCAAATAATATTCAAAATCCAGAAGCACTTAGACCCAATTCAAACTCTAAATTTCGTCCAAAACAAGAAAACAGATTTCAGAAAAATCAGCCCTCTCAAACCTAACTTGATACTATGGAAATGATGTAGCAAATGAGCCAAATGATGCAACAAACTATGAATCAAATGATGCAACAAACTATGAATCAAATGATGCAGCACCAGAAACAAATTATAGAGGCCCTTGGGAATAAGAGAGAAGAGGGACAGCTACCTAGTCAGCCTATAGAAAATCCAAGGAACCGCCCAACAATAGGATTTCAGCAAGGGGAGTCTAGTAGCATGAATCTAGGAAAAAACCCACGAAATGAAAATGTTAGGACAGCGAATGCATTAAGTAGTGGTAAGATTTTACCTGATCCTTATCCCCAAACATTAGAAGAAAAAGAAAACGTGGACAACCCAAAACAAAATCAAATAGGAGTAGAAGAGAATTTTATAGATTCTACCAAGGAAATTTCAAAAGAGAGGACAACCATTCCATTTTCTAAAGCTCTAGAGCCTAGACAAAGAAAGAAAAAGGAACACAATGAAGAAATAAAGAAAATTTTACAAGATGTGCAAATTAGTCTTCCTTTACTCACTGCCATTGAACATATTCCTGAATATGCTAGAGTTTTGAAAGAAATGTGTACACCAAAAAGGGCACCTAGAGTAGAAAAATTATCTATGCATGCTAGTGCATTATTATTAAATCAATTACCATATAAATTGAGAGATACAGGTGCCCCTTTAATTTCATGTGATATTGGTGGATCCATTTTTCAGAATGCATTACTTGACATTGGTGCTAGTATTAATTTATTACCTGCAAGTATTTGTGATAAATTTAATATTTCTAATCTTAAACCTTCTACTGTTACCTTACAATTTGCTGATAGATCCATAAAATATCCTAAAGGTATTTTAGAAAATGTGATAGTGACAGTTAAAGGGTGTAAATTTCTAGCTGATTTTGTAGTGCTGGAAATGGATTTTAATGGACAGTTTTATGATACGCCAATCATCCTAGGGAGACTATTTTTGCATACAGCAAAGATGAATATTGATTTTCCCACAGGTATTGCAAAAATTTCATGTGGAGATCAATCAATAGAAATTAAAATTTTTGAGGTATCAAATGATCTTAAGAAATCTCAAGTATATGATTGTCATACCATAGATCTTCTAGATGATTTTGATGATCCAGATGTTATTGATGACTGTCTGCTGGAAGAATTAGAGGAAATAGAGAATATAAATTTAGAAGAAAAGAAAAAGGAAGATCATCTGAATTTAGAGTTGAAACCTCTTCCCTCTAGTTTAAAATATATGTTCTTGGAGGAAAATAATTTATTTCTTGTTATTATTGCAGCTGATTTGAGTGATGAACAGGAAGAAGAATTAATAGATGTACTTCGAAAAACTAAGAAGGCTATGGGCTGAAAAATGGATGATCTAAGGGGCATTGATATGAGTGTATGCATGCATAGTATATATCTAGAGGAGGGGGCTAGAACTAGTAGGGAACCACAACGAAGATTAAATCCTAACATGATGGAAATTGTAAAAAAATAAATTTTAAAGTGGCTGGCTGCTGATATTATTTATCCTATTTCAGATAGCAAATGGGTTAGTCCTACACAAGTGGTGCCAAAAAAATCAGGGATCACGGTTATAAAAAACGAAAATGGGGATGAAATACAAACAAGATTAACTACTGGTTGTAGGGTTTGCATTGATTATAGAAAATTAAATTCAGTTACTAGAAAAGATCATTTTTCCCTACCATTTACTGATCAAATTCTAGAAAAATTAGCTGGAAAAAACTTTTTTTGTTTTCTGGATGGATACTCTGGTTATAATCAAATTTATATAAACCCTTTAGATCAAGAAAAAACAACTTTCACTTGTCCATTTGGTACTTTTGCTTTTAAACGCATGCCTTTTGGTCTATGTAATGCTCCAGCCACATTTCAAAGATGTATGCTGTCTATTTTTTCTGATATGATTGGAAAATGTATGAAAAATTTTATGGACGATTTTTCTGTTTTTGGTGAATCATTTAATGAATGCTTAAATCATTTACAGCATGTACTTGAGAAATGCATAGAGAAAAAATTAGTTTTGAGTTAGGAGAAATCACATTTTATGGTTAGAGAGGCAGTTGTGTTGGGTCATATTGTGAGTGAAAGGGGTTTAGAGGTGGATAGAGCAAAAATTGATATTATATCTAAAATGAAACCTTCAAATTTAGTAAAACAGATTAGATCTTTCTTGGGTCATGCAAGTTATTACAGAAAATTTATTCAAGATTTTTCGAAAATTTCTAAACCTCTCACCATGCTATTATCTAAAGATGTGCCTTTTAATTTTGATGAGAAATGTTTTGAGTCTTTTTCCGAAATAAAAAGATTACTTACTGAGGCACCCATTTTACAAGCTCCTGATTGGTCCCTTCCCTTTGAAATAATGTGTGATGCATCAAATTATGCAATGGGGGCCATTCTAGGACAAACAAAAGAGTCAAAACCCATAGTAATTTCATATGCTAGTAAAACTATATCCGATGCTCAATTAAATTATACTATGACTGAAAAAGAGTTGTTAGCTGTAGTATTTTCATTAGAAAGGTTTAGATCATATATTTTGGGAGCTAAAATTATTATTTATACTGATCATGCAGCATTAAAATATCTGTTTAATAAGAAAGATGCAAAGCCACGTTTATTAAGATGGATTTTATTGTTGCAGGAATTTGACTTAGAAATAAAAGATAAAAAAGGTTTCGAGAATACTGTTGCTGACCGTCTTTCTAGATTAAATGATACAGGAATAAATGCAGCACCTTTATAAGATGCATTTCCAGATGAACAATTGATGGCAGCTCAACATCAACCATCACCATGGTATGCACATATTGTTAATTATCTAGTTTCTAAAAAAACTCTAAAACAGTGGGATAAGAACAGAAAACATCATTTCTTTTCTAAGCTTAGAAATTATTTTTGGCATGATCCTGGTTTATATTACTTGGGCAATGATCAAATTTTAAGGAGATGTGTTCCTAAAGAAGAATACCATAGCATTATTAACATGTGCCATTCATCTATCTATGGAAGACATTTCTCTAGACGAAAAATAGCTGCAAAAAATTTTCAGTGTGGTTTTTATTGGCCTACAATCATTAGAGATTCTATAGAATTTAGTAGAACATGTATTTCATGCCAATCTATAGGTAACATGAGTAAAAAAGATGAAATGCCCATGAGTAACATGTTAGTAGTCGAAATTTTTGATGTATGGGGAATAGATTTCATGGGTCCCTTCCCATCAACTGAAAAATATGAATAAATTTTGCTTGCTATTGATTATGTGTCGAAGTGGGTGGAAGCTATTCCTACTAGAACTAATGATCATAAAATCGTGATGAAATTTGTGCAGGAAAATATTTTTTCGAGATTTGGATGTCCTAGAGTGATTATTAGTGATGGAGGAACACATTTTACAAATAAACATTTCAGAGAACTGTTGAAAAAGAATGGAGTACACCATAGAGTAGCCACTCCATATCATCCCCAAACAAATGGGCAAGCTGAAGTAGCAAATAGGGAAATTCAAAGAATTTTGAGAAAAATAGTTAGACCAGATAGGAAAGATTGGCCCACGAAATTACAAGATGCATTATGGGCTTATAGAACAGCTTATAAAAATCCCATAGGTATGTCCCCATTTCGTCTCATTTTTGGAAAGCCATGTCATCTTCCTGTGAAAATAGAGCATAAAGCATTATGGGCTATAAAAAATTTATGTATGGATGAAAAATCAGCTGGTGGGCATAAAATTTTTCAGCTACATGAACTAGAGGAGTTGAGGAATGAAGCTTATGAAAATCATAGTATATATAAAGAAAAAACTAAAACTTTTCATGATAAATACATTAGCAGAAAAAAAATTGATGTTGGACAAAAGGTGTGGTTATATGATTCTAGGCTGAAATTATTCCCAGGAAAATTAAAATCAAAATGGAAAAGGCCTTATGTGGTGGAAGAGACATGATCATGTGGCTGTAATGATTAAAGATCCTAAAAGTGATCATAACTTTAAGGTAAATGGACAGCGGCTTAAACATTACATAGAACATGAACGCCTTGTAGAAAAAGAAATTTTATTATTAAAAGAAATTCAAGAGTAAGATCAAGGAGTCCAACTAGAGACATTAAATTCAGCGCTGCATGGGAGGCAACCCATGGTTTTTATTTCATTTTTTTTAAGCTCTGTTTTTCTTAGAATTTCGCAGTACTTGTTTTTGTATTTGTTTTTTTGAAAAAGTGCAGAAGGAGGCATGTAAGACGAAGTGGAAAAATTAAAAACGAGGTTGAGGTGATGTCTTTCAGAGCTTTATCATTTATGATAACATTTTTAATGCTTAACTTTGCATATATGCATGCTTCACGTGAAAATTATATTTTCTACATATTCTATTTCGATTTTTCTATGTCATTGGAGACAATGTCATTTTTAAGTTGGGGGGTGAAGTATTCATTATTAATTTATGCTGTAAGACGATTAAGAACATGTGTTTGCATTTTATTCAACTTAGAACGGCAACTAAAAAAATAAAAATAAAATAAAATTCGGAAAAACTGCAACATCTATTTTCTGGTTTTCTGTTAGGAACAAGAGACTGTCAAAAATAGCAGAGGAAAAAACAACCCGAAATTTGAAATTATAGAGACCCTTTTCTCACATTTCAATCCCCTAGACATATATTACTGAAATTCGAAATTACAGCTATAAACAAGATAGTTTTGACTTATTTTTGACAAATTTATTACTGCTAAAAATAGAACTGAAAATAGAAAACAGAACTGTCATAACTATCTAATTTACAAATTTCTTACATCATATTGCATGCATGAAAAATTAAATCAATTAGATTGATTGATACCAAAAGATACTAGGAAGATTATTATTGAGTCAAAAGAATGATCTAGTAGCATGAAATGCTGGAATACTCCTTGGATACATGATAGATAACATGGATTTGATTTTACAGATTTTCACTTCATGATCTTGATGGATAGTATTTACTTGATGTGAAAATTTGATTGATCATTTGAGTTTAATGGAGATTTTTGCACCCTGATCTATAGGACTTGTGAGGAGAAATCACTTATTTCGAAAAAAAAAGAGAGAGCAATGTGAAAAATCTAGAAACGAAGAGTACACATAGAGGGTGTGAGACATCATTCTCATTGTCGAAAATCGTGTATAAAAAAACGCTTGCTACAAAATAAGTGGATAAAGTGAAAGCCCTAAAAATTAAGAGTACACATGGAGGGTGTGAGACATCATTCTTATTGTCGAAATTTGTCTACAAGAAAAGCTACTTATCCACTATAAAAGAAGGAAGAAATATAGTGCAAACTTCAAAAATCAAGCTATGGAAAAAGGGAAATGTAGAATCAATATTATTCTTAGATGATTATTGATAATTGGAACATTTTGTAAATATATCTATGAGTGAAGAAGTGATAAAGATGTGAATAGAAGAAGTGAAGTCTAGATTGTTATTCCAAGGTGTGCTTAAACATTTAAGTGCTTGACATCATTCTCAAAGACTTGATATAAGAGTCCAAAGTGTCTAAAGGTGCATCATTTCTAATTGTATTTTTATTTTTCTTATTGAAATATGATGTTTGAGATTTGTAAATTTTTATTTTCGTAATTCCATTGCTAAGAGACTAGCAATGATTTAAGTTGGGGGGTGTGATAAGTCTTCATTATCATGAGTTAATAATTAGTAAATAATATAGTTTTAGCCTTAACTCGTGATAAATAGACTTATCTTTGGGTTAAAGTGTGAAAAGTGGTTTTCAATTGATTAATGTGCTTTTTTTGGGTAATTATGTGATTTTATACGAATTTATATGATTTTTACAGTCTTGATTTTGAGATAAATGAAGAAAAAGAAATAAAACTAAAATATTGCAAAATGGGGGGACCCGCCGGCCAGCCGGGCCCGCAAGCGGGTTGGAAGCTCGGTCGGGGAGTAGCCGCGAGCAGGGGCTCGAGCGGCTTGGACCGATAGGGGCACGTGTGCGCCACCACTCCCCTTCCACGTCACCGGTGGCCAGCCGGTTGTGGGGCAAGGAGTGGTCGTACACGCGAGAGAAGAAACTTTGCTTACAAATGTAACATTACTATATATTCGCCCGAAAAATCGACGCACAACCGGTGTGGGACTAAACCCGCGTCACACCTTCCTCAGAAGGGGTGGACAACTGGCGTGGGTTCAAATCCTCCCAGAGTCAAAAGTCATATATTTTTATCTGATTATCGCGACTTTCCAGCAAATCGTCGGTGAAGGATTAAGCAACGAGAATCGCTGGATCATCGGCGAAAATCTCGTCAATGCGATTCACGGAGCATTGCTACTAAAATTGCTGAACGATTCGTGATAAAAAGATCGCGAATCCATGTAAGTAGATTTTCACACTCAAATATTACCTAAATTGATCTATTACATGTCACAAAACTCATTTGGTTGCTCGTTAATTCATGTAAACCTATGACATTGACTATATTGAAACGTTCTCTTTATTAGTTCAGCTCAACTCTATTCGAGTGATAATTTCTTTGGCGGTGAATCAAGCATGATCTTTGCATCAGTTGGATGTTTGTAATATATTTCTTTATGACAACTTTGAAAAGCATGTGTTATGGAGTAATCTCTTGAATATGTCACTCATGGGGAGTCATCAAATGCGTGTCTTTTACAACGCACTATTTACGGACTTAGACAAAGTCCACATACTTGGTTTATCAAGTTCAATAGTCTTTTGGTGTAATTTAGATTTTTACTATATCTTGTGGATCCCATAGTGCTTACAAAAAGTATTGAAGTCGGCATTGTCATCATAACTATTTATGTAGACAACATTCTTGTGACTAGAAGTGATGAAACAGACATTCAAGCTACTAAATTATACCTACAATAGTACTTTAATATACAAAATCTAGGGGTTCTACGATACTTCTTTGAGATTGCATTTACCTATCAAGATGGCAAGCTTGCTCTCTCTCAACAAAAGTATACTCTTGATATATTTCAAGAGACTAGACTACTTAGGTGTAAGTTAGAACTGTCACCTATAGAGGCACATCCGCGCTTCTAAGATACATCATCTTTGCTCTTAGAGGATGCTAATCAATATAGACAATGGTTGAGGAAGTTGATCTACCTCACCTCACCGCGACTCGCCTTGACATTGTGTATACGGTTAGTGTCCTTAGCCAGTTCATGTAAGAACCTTGACTAGTTTACTAAGTAGTTTTATAGATTCTAACATACGTCAAAAGAGCTCCTAAGGGAGAGTTTATCTATCGAAGACATAAGCATCTTCATATTGAAGTATACTCGGATGTAAGATATACTAGTAACAAGGGAGACCGTAAGTCCACCACTAGTTATTACACATATGTGGGTGGCAACTTTGTCATGTGGCATTCTAAAAAGTAGAAGGTGGTATCTTGCTTCAATGCTGAGTCCGAGTATCACGCCATGATTGAAACAGCATAAAAGATGGTGTGACTCAATTCACTCTTTAAAAACTTTAACATCTCATCTCTCATGTCAATACCTATGCATTGTAATAATCACACCGTCACCTTTATTGTTGAGAATCCTATATTTCATGAGTGAATAAAACACATCAAGATTGACTACCATTATATCTAAAATAAGGTAATGTTAAGTATTATCTCTACTCATATTGTCTCATCTCATCAACTCACGAACATCTTCACTAAGAGTCTTGTGGAGATCTCTTATGACATGACGTGTACCAAACAAGGTATGTTTGACTTGTATGCTCTAGCTTAAGGAAGAGTGTTAGAATAAGCCTATTGAGCCCACCATGCTCATTTTGGACATATTCTCTCCATGTTCTTATTCTTCTTCTACTATCTCCACTTCTTCTTCTTCTTCTTCTCTCTCTCTCTCTCTCTCTCTCTCTCTCTCTCTCTTTCTTTCTCTTTTCTATATAACCTCATATACTCTTCTTCTTTGATATATCAATTCTAAAGTTTTCTCTTCCTCTTGTCAATATAATTCTTGCATCTATATTTACGGACACAGATTATAAGTCATAAATTATTAAATAATACCTTACCATAGGGTAGACAAAATAATTTAGAATGAAAAACTATTATATCTCTTTTACTAAATGCTAATGAGCATTGATACCCCTTTCACTACCTTTAGTTCATTCTATTTTTTTAATGGAAGTAGAAAATAATATTTTATTAAATGAGTTAATTAATTATGCTCATAATTTATAAAAAATATAACCTCAAGCAAGTGCATAGGTATGCTGGCGACTTTCCTAAGAAAAGATTGCATAACCTCTACATGAACTCTGAATTACAAGTATTTATTAACAAAAAAAATTGTGGTACCAACATGTGTCAAATATTTTCAAGCCTAAAAAATAAATTGTAAGAGTAAAGTAGAAAATTTATCTTCAAAACCTCTCTTGTTTTCCTCATAATGGACTTCACATGAAGCCATTTTGTATAGAAAGCCAAAATAGTTACTAAGATTCAAAGTTTTTAAGGCTGGCAAATAATAAGCTATTTGATGGAAAAAAAAGGAAAGATGATTATATTGGGAATGGATGATTGATAGAAATAAATAATTATCCATTAAAATTGGTGGAAGGCAGCTTGTAGGTCCCATTACAAAATTTTATCATTAAATCATTAAAGTAAGCTTATTACAACTGCTCAAACTACTTAGGAGATATTTTAGCTAGAAATAACTTACCCTTAATAAATCTTTCTACATTGAAATTCTAATAATGTAAAACACAATAAATGGTTAGTTATCTAAGAAATCACCTTTAGTTATAGCATATGAAAAAATATATTATAGAGGGCCACATTGAGTTTTAGAACCCTTTCAAAGTTTATTAAAGCTTGTCATCACAAAAATTTCAATAAAGATTATTTTGATAACATTATATTCATTACATAAATTGCTACTGTCTTTAAAATGCGCACTGTAAATTTAAAATTTTTTGGAATTGAGTTAGATAGTGTAACCTTCAGTAGAAATTAATGGTAACTTACAAATGCAAGAAAAAAATAAAAGTAGAAAAAAGAGTGGTACATAGATCATATAGTATATCAAGATGGTATCTTGACGTGACTCAGTCGTTTTATATTAAATCACGCTAATCTAAAATTTATAAAACTAGAAAATACGAATTTTCGGATATTTAGAAGTATTTCTGAATAAATATATAAATTATAATTCAATAAAACTTCCAAAAATAACGGTAATTTTCCAGATCGATCACAGGGATGTAATATAATATTTGGTAATTATTCAGAATTTTTCTCAATGAATACGATTTTCTATGAATTTTATACTAGGAAATGAAAAGGAAATATATTTAAAAATCACGAAAAAGAAGGAAATAAGGGTGCGGACGTCAGGATGACGTTAGCGCCCGGTGAACACGAATCGGGCACAAACATAGTTCCGCCCGGCTGACGTGACTCAGTCGTTGTATATTAAATCACGCAAATATAAAATTTATAAAACTAGAAAATACGAATTTTCGGATATTTAGAAGTATTTCTAAATAAATATAGCAATTATAATTCAATAAAACTTCCAAAAATAGTGGTAATTTTCCAGGTCGATCACAGGGATGTAATATAATATCTGGTAATTATTCAGAATTTTTCTCAATGAATACGATTTTCTATGAATTTTATACTAGGAAATAAAAAGGAAATATATTTAAAATTCATGAAAAAGGGAAATAAGGGCGTGGACGTCAGGATGACGTCAGCGCCCGGCGAACGCGAATCGGGCAGAAACAGAGTTCCGCCCGGCAATTCTTACGTAAGCGATTACAGACGATTTAATTAATCAAATTAAAATCTGTAAAAGCCGAAAGAATCGTAATAGAATAAAGTATATTTTGGTAAATTAAAATCACAAAGAAATATCACTAAATGAAGTGTAAAGTAAGTTTAAAGTAGGAAAACAGAGTTCCGCCGTCGCGACGGCGATGCATTGGCGATGCACCGGAATCCTGAGCGTTCGGGAGGATCGTTGTGCAGTGTCCACGGCCTCGAAGGCTCTCCTTGGACAAAGACGACATGGGCAATCTCTAGATCTTCTCGTGAAGTCTAGAGATCAATGAAATGGGTCGTTGAGTCATCTCCGGCGGCTGTCACCCAACAGAGCAGAAAAACGGCGACTTTGCGGCTCTCCGGCAGCTGTCACCCGACGGAGAGGAGCTGGATGGAGGTGGGGCGCGTGTCAGGGAGCTTCATCCTCAGGTCCGCGCAGCAAGAGGAGGCTCTTCATCGCATCTGGTACCATCTCAAGAGGTGGCGACTCGTCTCCCGGCGGATCGTCCTCTTCCCGACGACGGCTTGTTCGTCGATCAATCGGAGATGATTTACTCGATGGATTCGCGATCCTTTTATCGCGAATTGTTCAGCAATTTTAGTAGCAATGCTTCGCGAATCGCATTGACGAGATTTTCGCCGATGATCTAGCGATTCTCGTTGCTTAATCCTTCACCGGCGATCTGCAAGAAAGTCGCGATAATCAGATAAAAATATATGAATTTTGACTCTAGGAAGATTCGAACCCACACCGGTTGTCCACCCCTTTTGAGGAAGGTGTGACGCGGGTTTAGTCCCACATTAGTTGTGCGCCGATTTTTCAAGCGAATATATAGTAATGTTAGCTTTGTGAGCAAAGTCTCGTCTCTCACGTGTACGACCACTCCTTGCCCCACAGCTGGCTGGCCACTGGTGACGTGGAAGGGGAGTGGCGCACACATGCCCCTATCGGTCCAAGCCGCTTGAGCCCCTGCTCGCGGCTGCTCCCCAACTGAGCTTCCGACCCACTTGCGGGCCCGGCTGACCGGCGGGTCCCCCCATTTTGTAATATTTTAGTTTTATTTCTTTTTCTTCATTTATCTCAAAAGTAAGACTGTAGAAATCATATAAATTCGTATAAAATCACATAATTACCTAAAAAATCACATTAATCAACTGAAAACCACTTTTCACACTTTAACACAAATATAAGTCTATTTATCACGAGTTAAGGCTAAAACTATATTATTTACTAATTATTAACTCATGATAATGAAGACTTATCACACCCCCCAACTTAAATCATTGCTAGTCCCTTAGCAATGGAATTACGAAAATAAAAATTTACAAATCTCAAACATCATATTTCAATATAGAAAGAAAAAAATACAATTAGAAATGATGCACCTTTAGACACTTTGGATTCTTATATCAAGTATTTAAGAATGATGTCAAGCACTTAAATGTTTAAACACTCTTTGGAATAACAATCTAGACTTCACTTCTTCTATTCACATCTTTATCACTTCTTCACTCATAGATGTATTTACAAGATGTTCCAATTATCAATACTCATCCAAGAATAATATTGATCCTACATTTCCCTTTTTCTATGGCTTGATTTTTGAAGTTTGCACTATATTTCTTCTTTCTTTATATATAGTGGATAAGTAGCTTTTCCTGTAGATAAATTTCGACAATAAGAATGATGTCTCACACCCTCCATGTGTACTCTTCATTTTCAGAGCTTTCACTTGATCCACTTATTTTGCAGCAAGTGTTTTTCTATACACGATTTTCGACAATGAGAATGATGTCTCACACCCTCCATGTGTACTCTTCGTTTCTAGATTTTTCACATTGCTCTCTCTTTTTTTTTCCGAAATAAGTGATTTCTCCTCACAAGTCCTATAGATCAGGGTGCAAAAATCTCCATTAAACCCAAATGATCAATCAAATTTTCACATCAAGTAAATATTATCTATCAAGATCATGAAGTGAAAATCTGTAAAATCAAATCCATGTTATCTATCATGTATCCAAGGAGTATTCCAACATTTCATGCTACTAGATCATTCTTTTGACTCAATAATAATCTTCCTAGTATCTTTTGGTATCAATCAATCTAATTGATTTAATTTTTCATGCATGCAATATGATGTAAGAAATTTGTAAATTAGATAGTTCTGACAGTTCTGTTTTCTATTTTCAGTTTTCAGTTCTATTTTAGCAGCAATAAATTTGTCAAAAATAAATCAAAACTATCCTCTTTATAGTTGTAATTTCAAATTTCAGTAATATATGTCTAGGGGATTGAAATGTGAGAAAAGGGTCTCTATAATTTCAAATTTCGGGTTGTTTTTTCGTCTGCTGTTTTTGACAATCTGTTGTTCCTGACAGAAAACCAGAAAATAGATGTTGCAATTTTTCCGAATTCGGCGATCTTTTTTTACTTTTTTAGTTGTTGTTCTAAGTTGAATAAAATGCAAACACATGTTCTTAATCGTCCTACAGCATAAATTAATAATGAATACTTCACCCCCCAACTTAAAAATGACATTGTCCTCAATGACATAGAAAAATCGAAATAGAATATGCAAAAAATATAATTTTCACGTGAAGCATGCATATATGCAAAGTTAAGCATTAAAAATGTTGTCATAAATGATAAAGCTCCGAAAGACATCACCTCAACCTCGATTTTAATTTTCCACTTCATCTTACACTCCTCCTCTTGCACTTTTTCGAAAAAACAAATACAGAAACAAGTACTGCGAAATTCTAAGAAAAATAGAGCTTAAAAAAAAATCAAATAGAATGAAATAAAAACCATGGGTTGCCTCCCATGCAGTGCTGAATTTAATGTCTTCAGCTGGACAGCTCTTAGATCATATAAGATGATCTATGGCCATCAAAATATATTTGTATCCCAAGGTAAGTTTCATGATATTCTTTTTCAGATTTAGCATAAATTCATGTACTTCATATACCTTGACATACTTTCAGCCAAAACAAGATGAAAATTAACAAAATTTTCCCAAAAATAATATTTCCATTTTGAAAAGAATCTTTCCTCATTTCTATCTTGTTTTGTAAGGCTCTCATTCATTAATAAATACTTCCTATTAATAGACCATAAAATGTGATCAGGCCATATAATTTTCGAATTAGCTCTTACCCAATCTAAATTCTTTTCATCTAAATTGATATCTCTAATTCTTCCACTCACCCATTTCTTAATGTCTTCTTTTATCTGCATAATCTTCCCCTGCTCTATTTTATCTTCCATACATATTTGTTCAATTTGTGAGGAGTGAAATATTTCAAGCTTAGAAATAATTCTAATGGGCTGTGGGTTTTGAAGGATGGAAGGATTGTCTTCTTTAATCTCAGATCTAATGAATTCAGTAAAATTCAAATTTTCTCCTCGAAAATTATCTCTATATTTATATCTATTATTTTCGTTTCTCCCTATTAGTTGAATCAACTCTTTTTCTAGTTTTTCGTTTCTCAACTCATCAAATTCTTCATCTTCCCAAGAGCTATCTTTTAATTTCGATATATGATATACATCATCCTCCTCACTATCAACATCCATGGCTGCAAAATTATGATTAGATTTATTAATTTCGTCTCCTACATCAACTGATTTTTCCTCACCTGAAATATGTTTTTCTTCATTTCTGTCCATACTCCCTTCTACTAAAATTTGGATGATTTTTCCATGATCAGCTGCTGTTTCTTCATCTAAGGGCTCTTTCTCCTCATCATCCTCACTATATTCATTCATCAATTGTGAGCAATAAATGATTTTATTCAAATTTTCTGCTACTATATTTTCGGCCTTAATATTCTCATTTACTTCTAATGGATCATCAATTTCTTCTTCTAATAATTGGAAATAAGGATCAAGTAAAATATTCTCGCTCAATATATTCATTGTCCTAACATTTTCATTTCGTGGGTTTTTTTCTAAATTTATCCAGCTAGACTCTCTTTGCTGAAATCCTACTGTTGGATAGTTTCCTGAATTTTCTATGGGCGGACTAGGTGGCTGTCCCTCTTCTCTCTTATTCCCAAGAGCCTCTATTATTTTGTTTATGGTGCAGCATCATTTGATTCATAGTTTGTTACATCATTTGGCTCATAGTTTGTTGCATCATTTGGCTCATTTGCTGCATCATTTCCATAGTATCATGTTGGGTTTGAGAGGGCTGATTTTTCTGAAATCTGTTTTCTTATTTTGGATGAAATTCAGAGTTTGAATTGGATCTAAGTGCTTCTGGATTTTGAATATTATTTGGGTTTCTCCACGAAAAATTATTCCCCCAATTAGGATTATAAGAATTAGAAAAATATTCCCTATTTTTACTAAAATCGTGGGGTACCTACACTTGTTCTTGCCTAGGATGATATTGAAATTCGAAATGATCATTTTCACCATACATAGGATCTGTACTATTTGAATTAAATTGAGGGTTAAGAGGCTTTCTAATATTGTCAATAAGAAAATCAAGTTTTTCTAATCTTTGATTAATCTGATTAACCTCATTTCTAAATTTAGATTCATTATCATGATGCAATTCATGAATTCCTCTCTTCTTATCCCTATCATATAATTCAAAAGAGGCTTGATCTCTAGAATTTTCACTTAAATTCTCATAAAGACTGTAAATCTCATCAGGGGTTTTCTCCATAAAAGCTCCTCCACATATAGAATCAACCATATTTCTATGTTGTTCTAATAATTCATCATAAAAAATTCTATTGAGCTGCCACTTGGGTATAGCATGCTGAGGACATTTTCAAAGTAAATCTTTGAATGTTTCCCATGTCTCATGTAAAGTTTCTCCTGGTCTTGGAGAAAAATTCCATATATGTTTTCTCATATTTTGAGTTTTTCCTAAGGGATAAAATTTTCAAAGAAATGCCTATTCTATGTCTTTCTAGCTAGTTAATTCTCTATCTAATGTGGATAGCCAATGGCTAGCTTTGTCCCTAAGTGTATGAGGGAATAATTTCATCTTAATAATTTTCGGTGTAACTTGAGGGAGATTAACTAAATCACAGACCATATGAAATTTTTCTAAGTGCTAATGAGGTTCCTCTAAAGGCAATCCATGAAAATTAGGGAGCATTTGAAAAATTCCTGGATTTATTTCGAATTTAACATTGGGTGCTAATGGGACTCTAATATTGGATGCTCTTTGAAATGAATCAGGGATATAATAATTTTTCATGGCCATAAGATTTTTCTCAGTTTGACCTGTACTTTCTTCAGGATCTATCAAAATTAATTTTTCTTTCAGATTTTTAGTTTTGAATGAAATAATGAAAAGATTTTCTAGCCTTGGATGCAAGGATCTTCTACCATGCATAAAAATCAATAAATTCGAGAGAAAAATTTAGTAATTGTTACCCTCCTTCAGGATGCTCCAGTCCTTGCCTTGCTTCTTTCGTTCCCTAAAAAAAATCGGCAAAAAGAAAATAAAACAAGAGTTAAATTTTTTTTGTGTACTCTAAGAGAAAAACAGAAAAATACTAAATATTATGCAATACATCCCCGGCAACGGCGCCAAAATTTGACGTGACTTAGTCGTTGTATATTAAATCACGCAAATATAAAATTTATAAAACTACAAAATACGAATTTTTAGATATTTAGAAGTATTTCTAAATAAATATAGCAATTATAATTCAATAAAACTTCCAAAAATAGCGGTAATTTTCCAGGTCAATCACAGGGATGTAATATAATATCTGGTAATTATTCAGAATTTTTCTCAATGAATACGATTTTCTATGAATTTTATACTAGGAAATAAAAAGGAAATATATTTAAAATTCATGAAAAAGGGAAATAAGGGCGTGGACGTCAGGATGACGTCAGCGCCCGGCGAACGCGAATCGGGCAGAAACAGAGTTCCGCCCGGCAATTCTTACGTAAGCGATTACAGACGATTTAATTAATCAAATTAAGATCTGTAAAAGCCGAAAGAATCGTAATAGAACAAAGTATATTTAAGTAAATTAAAATCACAAAAAAATATCACTAAATGAAGTGTAAAGTAAGTTTAAAGCAGGAAAATAGAGTTCCGCCGTCGCGACGGCGATGCGTCGGCGATGCACCGGAATCCTGAGCGTTCGGGAGGATCGTTGTGCAGTGTCCACGGCCTCGAAGGCTCTCCTTGGACAAAGATGACGTGGGCAATCTCTAGATCTTCTCGTGAAGTCTAGAGATCAATGAAATGGGTCGCTGAGTCGTCTCCGGCGGCTGTCACCCAACAGAGCAGAAAAACGGCGACTTTGCGGCTCTCCGGCGGCTGTCACCCGACGGAGAGGAGCTGGATGGAGGTGGGGCGCGTGTCAGGGAGCTTCATCCTCAGGTCCGCGCAGCAAGAGGAGGCCCTTCATCGCATCTGGTACCATCTCAGGAGGTGGCGACTCGTCTCCCGGCGGATCGTCCTCTTCCCGACGACGGCTTGTTCGTCGATCAATCGGAGATGATTTACTCGATGGATTCGCGATCCTTTTATCGCGAATCGTTCAGCAATTTTAGTAGCAATGCTTCGCGAATCGCATTGACGAGATTTTCGCCGATGATCTAGCGATTCTCGTTGCTTAATCCTTCACCGGCGATCTGCAAGAAAGTCGCGATAATCAGATAAAAATATATGAATTTTGACTCTAGGAAGATTCGAACCCACGCCGGTTGTCCACCCCTTCTGAGGAAGGTGTGACGCGGGTTTAGTCCCACATTAGTTGTGCGCCGATTTTTCAAGCGAATATATAGTAATGTTAGCTTTGTGAGCAAAGTCTCATCTCTCGCGTGTACGACCACTCCTTGCCCCACAGCTGGCTGGCCACTGGTGACGTGGAAGGGGAGTGGCGCACACGTGCCCCTATCGGTCCAAGCCGCTTGAGCCCCTGCTCGCGACTGCTCCCCGACTAAGCTTCCAACCTGCTTGCGGGCCCGGCTGGCCAGCGGGTCCCCCCATTCTGCAATATTTTAGTTTTATTTCTTTTTCTTCATTTATCTCAAAAGTAAGACTGTAGAAATCATATAAATTCGTATAAAATCACATAATTACCCAAAAAATCACATTAATCAACTGAAAACCACTTTTCACACTTTAACACAAATATAAGTCTATTTATCACGAGTTAAGGCTAAAACTATATTATTTACTAATTATTAACTCATGATAATGAAGACTTATCACCGGCGATTCTTACGAAAGCGATTACAGACGATTTAGTTAATCAAATTAAGATCTGTAAAAGCCAGAAGAATCGTAATAGAACAAAGTATATTTTGGTAAATTAAAATCATAAAAAGTATCACTAAATGAAGCGTAAAGTAAGTTTGAAAGCAAGAAAACAGAGTTCCGACGTCGCGACGGCGATGTGTCGGCGATGCACTGGAATCCTGAGCGTTCGGGAGGATCGTCGTGCAATGTCCACGGCCTCGAAGGCTCTCCTTGGGCAAAGACGACGTGGGCAATCTCTAGATCTTCTCACGAAGTCTAGAAATTAATGAAATGGGTCGCCGAGTCGTCTCCGGCGGCTGTCACTCGGCGGAGCGGAAAAATGGTGACTTTGCAGCTCTCCGGCGGCTGTCACCCGATGGAGAGGAGCTTGATGGAGGTGGGGCGCGTGTCAGAGAGCTTCATCCTCAAGTCCGCGCAGCAAGAGGAGTGATAAGTCTTCATTATCATGAGTTAATAATTAGTAAATAATATAGTTTTTGCCTTAACTCATGATAAATAGACTTATATTTGTGTTAAAGTGTGAAAAGTGGTTTTCAGCTAATTAATGTGAATTTTTGGGTAATTATGTGATTTTACATGAATTTATATGATTTTTACAGTCTTGCTTTTGAGATAAATGAAGAAAAAGAAATAAAAATAAGACAAAATGAGGGGGGGACCCGCCGACCAGCCGGGCCCACAAGCGGGTCGGAAGCTCAGTCGGGGAGTAGCTGCGAGCAAGGGCTCAAGCGGCTTGGATCGATAGGGGCACGTGTGCGCCACTCCCCTTCCACGTCTCCGGTGGCTAGCCGGCTGTGGGGCAAGGAGTGGTCGTACACGCGAGAGACGGGACTTTGCTTAAAAAGCTAACATTACTATATATTCGCCTGAAAAATCGGCGCACAACCGATGTGGGACTAAACCCGCGTCACACCTTCCTCAGAAGGGGTGGACAACCGGCGTGGGTTCGAATCTTCCTAGAGTCAAAATTCATATATTTTTATCTGATTATCGCGACTTTCTTGCAGATCGCCGGTGAAGGATTAAGCAACGAGAATCGCTAGATCATCGGCAAAAATCTCGTCAATGCGATTCGCGAAGCATTGCTACTAAAATTGCTGAACGATTCGCGATAAAAGGATCGCGAATCCATCGAGTAAATCATCTCCGATTGATCGACGAACAAGCCGTCGTCGGGAAGAGGACGATCCGCCGAGAGACGAGTCGCCACCTCCTGAGATGGTACCAGATGCGATGAAGAGCCTCCTCTTGCTGCGCGGACCTGAGGATGAAGCTCCCTGACACGCGCCCCACCTCCATCCAGCTCCTCTCCGTCGGGTGACAGCCGCCGGAGAGCTGCAAAGTCGCTGTTTTTCCGCTCTGCTGGGTGACAGCCGCTGGAGACGACTCAGCGACCCATTTCATTGATCTCTAGACTTCGCAAGAAGATCTAGAGATTGCCCATGTCGTCTTTGTCCAAGGAGAGCCTTCGAGGCCGTGGACACTGCACAACGATCCTCCCGAATGCTCAGGATTCCAGTGCATCGCCGACGCATCGCCGTCGCGACGGCGGAACTCTGTTTTCCTACTTTCAAACTTACTTTATGCTTCATTTAGTGATATTTCTTTGTGATTTTAATTTACTAAAATATACTTTGTTCTATTACGATTCTTTCGGCTTTTACAGATCTTAATTTGATTAATTAAATCGTCTGTAATCGCTTACGTAAGAATTGCCGGGCTGAACTCTGTTTTCGCCCGATTCGCGTTCGCCGGGCGCTGACGTCATCCTGACGTCCGCGCCCTTATTTCCCTTTTTCATGAATTTTAAATTTTTTTTTTTATTTTCTAGTATAAAATTCATAGAAAATCGTATTCATTGAGAAAAATTCTGAATAATTACCAGATATTATATTACATCCCTGTGATCGACTTGGAAAATTACCGCTATTTTTGGAAGTTTTATTGACAATAATTGCTATATTTATTTAGAAATACTTCTAAATATCCGAAAATTCGTATTTTCTAGTTTTATAAATTTTATAATTGAAAATCCTTTCATTATTTCATTCAAAACTAAAAATCCGAAAGAAAAATTAATTTTGATAGATTCTGAAGAAAGTACAGGTCAAACTGAGAAAAATCTTATGGCCATGAAAAATTATTATATCCCTGATTCATTTCAAAGAGCATCCAATATTAGAGTCCCATTAGCACCCAATGTTAAATTCAAAATAAATCCAAGAATTTTTCAAATGCTCCCTAATTTTAATGGATTGCCGTTAGAGGAACCTCATCAGCACTTAGAAAAATTTCATATGGTCTGTGATTTAGTTAATCTCCCTCAAGTTACACCGGAAATTATTAAGATGAAATTATTCCCTCATACACTTAGGGACAAAGCTAGCCATTGGCTATCCACATTAGATAGAGAATTAACTAGCTGGAAAGACATAAAACAGGCATTTCTTCGAAAATTTTATCCCTTAGGAAAAACTCAAAATATGAGAAAACATATATGGAATTTTTCTCAAAGACCAGGAGAAACTTTACATGAGACATGGGAAACATTCAAAGATTTACTTAGAAAATGTCCCCAACATGCTATACCCAAGTGGCAGCTCAATAGAATTTTTTATGATGTATTATTAGAACAACATAGAAATATGGTTGATTCTATATGTGGAGGAGCTTTTATAGAGAAAACCTCTGATGAGATTTACAGTCTTTATGAGAATTTAAGTGAAAATTCTAGAGATCAAGCCTCTTTTGAATTATATGACAGGGATAAGAAGAGAGGAATTCATGAATTGCACCATGATAATGAATCTAAATTTAGAAATGAGGTTAATCAGATTAATCAAAGATTAGAAAAACTTAATTTTCTTATTGACAATATTAGAAAGCCTCTTAACCCTCAATTTAATTCAAATAGTACAGATTTTATGTATGGTGAAAATGATCATTTCGAATTTCAATATCATCCTTGGCAAGAACAAGTACCCCACGATTTTAGTAAAAATAGAGAATATTTTTCTAATTCTTATAATCCTAATTGGGGGAATAATTTTTCGTGGAGAAACCCAAATAATATTCAAAATCCAGAAGCACTTAGATCCAATTCACATTTTGAATTTCGTCCAAAACAGGAACATACATTTCAGAAAAATCAGTCCTCTCAAATCCAACCTGATGCTATGGAAATGATGCAGAAAATGAGCCAAATGATGCAACAAATTATGAATCAAATGATGCTGCACCAGAAACAAATTATAGAGGCTCTTAGGGATAAGAGAGAAGAGAGACAACTACTTAGTCAGCCCATAGAAAATTCAAGAAACTATCCAACAATAGGATTTCAGCAAGAAGAGTCTAGCTGGATAAATTTAGAAAAAAACCCACGAAATGAAAATGTTAGGACAGTGAATACATTGAGTGAGAATATTTTACCTGATCCTTATTTCCAATTATTAGAAGAAGAAATTGATGATCCATTAAAAGTAAATGAGAATATTAAGGCCGAAAATATAGTAGCAGAAAATTTGAATAAAATCATTTATTGCTCACAATTGATGAATGAATATAGTGAGGATGATGAGGAGAAAGAGCCCTTAGATGAAGAAACAGCAGCTGATCATGGAAAAATCATCCAAATTTTAGTAGAAGGGAGTAAGGACAGAAATGAAGAAAAACATATTTTAGGTGAGGAAAAATCAGTTGATTTGGGAGACGTAGGAGACGAAATTAATGAATCTAATCATAATTTTGCAGCCATGGATGTTGATTGTGAGGATGATGATATATATCATATACCGAAATTAAAAGATAGCTCTTGGAAAGATGAAGAATTTGATGAGTTGAGAAACGAAAAACTAGAAAAAGAGTTGATTCAACTAATGGGGAGAAATGAAAATAATGGATATAAATATAGAGATAATTTTTTAGGAGAAAATTTGAATTTTATTGAATTCATTAGATCTGAGATTAAAGAAGACAATCCTTCCATCCTTCAAAACCCACAGCCCATTAGAATTATTTCTAAGCTTGAAATATTTCACTCCTCACAAATTGAACAAATATGTATGGAAGATAAAATAGAGCAGGGGAAGATTATGCAGATAAAAGAAGACATTAAGAAATGGGTGAGTGGAAGAATTAGAGATATCAATTTAGATGAAAAGAATTTAGATTGGGTAAGAGCTAATTTGAAAATTATATGGCCTGATCACATTTTATGGTCTATTAATAGGAAGTATTTATTAATGAATGAGAGCCTTACAAAACAAGATAGAAATGAGGAAAGATTCTTTTCAAAACAAAAATATTATTTTTGGGAAAATTTTGTTAATTTCCATCTTGTTTTGGCTGAAAGTATGTCAAGGTATATATATGAAGTACATGAATTTATGCTAAATCTGAAAAAGAATATCATGAAACTTACCTTGGGATACAAATATATTTTGATGGCCATAGATCATCTTATATGATCTAAGAGCTGTCCAGCTGAAGACATTAAATTCAGCGCTACATGGGAGGCAACCCATGATTTTTATTTCATTCTATTTGATTTTTTTTTTTAAGCTCTGTTTTTCTTAGAATTTCGCAGTACTTGTTTCTGTATTTGTTTTTTCGAAAAAGTGCAAGAGGAGGAGTGTAAGATGAAGTGGAAAATTAAAATCGAGGTTGAGGTGATGTCTTTCGGAGCTTTATCATTTATGACAACATTTTTAATGCTTAACTTTGCATATATGCATGCTTCACGTGAAAATTATATTTTCTGCATATTCTGTTTCGATTTTTCTATGTCATTGAGGCAATGTCATTTTTAAGTTGGGGGGTGAAGTATTCATTATTAATTTATGCTGTAAGACGATTAAGAACATGTGTTTGCATTTTATTCAACTTAGAACAGAAACTTTAAAAAAAAAAAAAAATTCGGAAAAATTGCAACATCTATTTTCTAGTTTTCTGTCAAGAACAACAGACTGTCAAAAATAGCAGACGAAAAAACAACTCGAAATTTGAAATTATAGAGACCCTTTTCTCACATTTCAATCCCCTAGATATATGTTACTAAAATTCGAAATTACAGCTATAAAGAAGATAGTTTTGATTTATTTTTGACAAATTTATTGCTGCTAAAAATAGAACTGAAAACAGAAAACAGAACTGTCAGAACTATCTAATTTACAAATTCCTTACATCATATTGCATGCATGAAAAATTAAATCAATTAGATTGATTGATACCAAAAGATACTAGGAAGATTATTATTGAGTCAAAAGAATGATCTAGTAGCATGAAATGTTGGAATACTTCTTGGATACATGATAGATAACATGGATTTGATTTTACAGATTTTCACTTCATGATCTTGATGGATAATATTTACTTGATGTGAAAATTTGATTGATCATTTGGGTTTAATGGAGATTTTTGCACCCTGATCTATAGGACTTGTGAGGAGAAATCACTTATTTCGGAAAAGAAAAAGAGAGAGCAATGTGAAAAATCTAGAAACGAAGAGTACACATGGAGGGTGTGAGACATCATTCTCATTGTCGAAAATCGTGTATAGAAAAACACTTGCTGCAAAATAAGTGGATAAAGTGAAAGTCCTGAAAATAAAGAGTACACATGGAGGGTGTGAGACATCATTCTTATTGTCGAAATTTGTCTATAGGAAAAGCTACTTATCAACTATATATAAAGAAAGAAGAAATATAGTGCAAACTTCAAAAATCAAGCCATAGAAAAAGGGAAATATAGGATCAATATTATTCTTGGATGAGTATTGATAATTGGAACATCTTGTAAATACATCTATGACTGAAGAAGTGATAAAGATGTGAATAGAAGAAGTGAAGTCTAGATTGTTATTCCAAGGTGTGTTTAAACATTTAAGTGCTTGACATCATTCTTAAATACTTGATATAAGAATCCAAAGTGTCTAAAGGTGCATCATTTCTAATTGTATTTTTTTCTTTCTGTATTGAAATATGATGTTTAAGATTTGTAAATTTTTATTTTCATAATTCCATTGCTAAGGGACTAGCAATGATTTAAGTTGGGGGGTGTGATAAGTCTTCATTATCATGAGTTAATAATTAGTAAATAATATAGTTTTAGCCTTAACTCCTGATAAATAGACTTATATTTGTGTTAAAGTGTGAAAAGTGGTTTTCAATTGATTAATGTGAATTTTTGGATAATTATGTGATTTTACATGAATTTATATGATTTTTACAATCTTGCTTTTGAGATAAATAAAGAAAAAGAAATAAAAATAAGACAAAATGAGGGGGGGACCCGCCGACCAGCCGGGCCCGCAAGGGGGTCGGAAGCTCAGTCGGGGAGTAGCTGCGAGCAGGGGCTCGAGCGGCTTGGACCGATAGGGGCACGTGTGCGCCACTCCCCTTCCACGTCACCGGTGGCTAGCCGGCTGTGGGGCAAGGAGTGGTCGTACACGCGAGAGACGAGACTTTGCTCACAAAGCTAACATTACTATATATTCGCTTGAAAAATCGGCGCACAACTAATGTGGGACTAAACCCGCGTCACACCTTCCTCAGAAGGGGCGGACAACTGGCGCGGGTTCGAATCCTCCCAAAGTCAAAATTCATATATTTTTATCTGATTATCGCAACTTTCCTGCAGATCGCCGGTGAAGGATTAAGCAACCAGAATCGTTGGATCATCGGCAAAAATCTCGTCAACGTGATTCGCGGAGCATTGCTACTAAAATTTTGCTGAACGATTCGCGATAAAAGGATCGCGAATCCATCGAGTAAATCATCTCCGATTGATTGACGAACAAGCCGTCGTCGGGAAGAGGACGATCCGCTGAGAGACGAGTCGCCACCTCCTGAGATGGTACTAGATGCAGTGAAGAGCCTCCTCTTGCTGCGCGGACCTGAGGATGAAGCTCCCTGACACGCGCCCCACCTCCATCCAGCTCCTCTCCGTCGGGTGACAGCCGCTAGAGAGCCGCAAAGTCGCCGTTTTTCCGCTCCACCGGGTGACAGCCGCCGGAGACGACTCGGCGACCCATTTCATTAATTTCTAGACTTCGCGAGAAGATCTAGAGATTGCCCATGTCGTCTTTGTCCAAGGAGAGCCTTCGAGGCCGTGGACACTGCACAACAATCCTCCCGAATGCTCAGGATTCCGGTGCATCGCCGACGCATCGCCATCGCGATGCCGGAACTCTGTTTTCCTGCTTTCAAACTTACTTTACGCTTCATTTAGTGATACTTTTTCTGATTTTAATTTACCAAAATATACTTTGTTCTATTATGATTCTTCTGGCTTTTACAGATCTTAATTTGATTAACTAAATCGTCTGTAATCGCTTTCGTAAGAATCACCGGGCGGAACTCTATTTCCGCTCAATTCGCGTTCACCGGGCACTGACGTCATCTCAATGTCCGCACCCTTATTTCCTTCTTTTCGTGAATTTTAAATATATTTCCTTTTCATTTTCTAGTATAAAATTCATAGAAAATCGTATTCATTGAGAAAAATTCTGAATAATTACCAAATATTATATTGCATCCCTGTGATCGACTTGGAAAATTACCGCTATTTTTGGAAGTTTTATTGAATTATAATTGATATATTTATTCAGAAATACTTCTAAATATCTGAAAATTTGTATTTTCTAGTTTTATAAATTTTAGATTTGCATGATTTAATATACAACGACTAAGTCACGTCAAGGAGGCTCTTCATCACATCTGGTACGCTCTCAGGAGGTGGCGACTCGTCTCCCAGCGGATCGTCCTCTTCCCGACGACGGCTTGTTCGTCGATCAATCGGAGATGATTTACTCGATGGATTCGCAATCCTTTTATCATGAATCGTTCAGCAATTTTAGTAGCAATGCTCCGTGAATCGTGTTGACAAGATTTTTGCCAATGATCCAGCGATTCTGGTTGCTTAATCCTTCATCGGCGATCTGCAGGAAAGTCGCGATAATCAGATAAAAATATATGAATTTTGACTCTGGGAGGATTCGAACCCGCGCCGGTTGTCCGCCCGTTCTGAGGAAGGTGTGACACGGGTTTAGTCCCACATCGGTTGTGCGCCGATTTTTTAGGCGAATATATAGTAATGTTAGCTTTTTAAGCAAAGTCCCTTCTTTCGTGTGTACGACCACTCCTTGCCCCACAGCCGGCTGGCCACTGGTGACGTGGAAGGGGAGTGGCGCACACGTGCCCCTATCGGTCCAAGTCACTCGAGCCCTTGCTCGCGGCTACTCCCCGACTGAGCTTCCAACCCGCTTGCGGGCCCGGCTGGCCGGCGGGTCCCCCCCATTTTGCAATATTTTATTTCTTTTTCTTCATTTATCTTAAAAGTAAGACTGTAAAAATCATATAAATTCGTATAAAATCACATAATTACCTAAAAAATCACATTAATCCACTGAAAACCACTTTTCACACTTTAACACAAATATAAGTCTATTTATCATGAGTTAAGGCTAAAACTATATTATTTACTAATTATTAACTCATGATAATGAAGACTTATCACACCCCCCAACTTAAATCATTGCTAGTCCCTTAGCAATAGAATTACGAAAATAAAAATTTACAAATCTCAAACATCATATTTCAATACAGAAAGAAAAAAATACAATTAGAAATGATGCACCTTTTGACACTTTGGATTCTTATATCAAGTATTTAAGAATGATGTCAAGCACTTAAATGTTTAAACACTCTTTGGAATAACAATCTAGACTTCACTTCTTCTATTCACATAATTATCACTTCTTCACTCATAGATGTATTTACAAGATGTTCCAATTATCAATACTCATCCAAGACTAATATTGATCCTACATTTCCCTTTTTCTATGGCTTGATTTTTGAAGTTTGCACTATATTTCTTCTTTCTTTATATATAGTGGATAAGTAGCTTTTCCTGTAGATAAATTTCGACAATAAGAATGATGTCTCACACCCTCCATGTGTACTCTTTATTTTCAGGGCTTTCACTTGATCCACTTATTTTGCAGCAAGTGTTTTTCTATACACCATTTTCGACAATGAGAATGATGTCTCACACCCTCCATGTGTACTCTTCGTTTCTAGATTTTTCACATTGCTCTCTCTTTTTTTTTTTTTTTTTTTTTTTTGAAATAAGTGATTTCTCCTCACAAGTCCTATAGATCAGGGTGCAAAAATCTCCATTAAACTCAAATGATCAATCAAATTTTCACATCAAGTAAATATTATCCATCAAGATCATGAAGTGAAAATCTGTAAAATCAAATCCATGTTATCTATCATGTATCCAAGGAGTATTCCAACATTTCATGCTACTAGATCATTCTTTTGACTCAATAATAATCTTCCTAGTATCTTTTTGTATCAATCAATCTAATTGATTTAATTTTTCATGCATGCAATATGATGTAAGAAATTTGTAAATTAGATAGTTCTGACAGTTCTGTTTTCAGTTTTCAGTTCTATTTTAGCAGCAATAAATTTGTCAAAAATAAATCAAAACTATCCTCTTTATAGCTGTAATTTCGAATTTCAGTAATATATGTCTAGGGGATTGAAATGTGAGAAAAGGGTCTCTATAATTTCAAATTTCGGGTTGTTTTTTCGTCTGCTGTTTTTGACAATCTGTTGTTCCTGACAAAAAATTAGAAAATAGATGTTGCAATTTTTCCGAATTCGGCGATCTTTTTTTACTTTTTTAGTTGTTGTTCTAAGTTGAATAAAATGCAAACACATGTTCTTAATCGTCCTACAGCATAAATTAATAATGAATACTTCACCCCCCAACTTAAAAATGACATTGTCCTCAATGACACAGAAAAATCGAAACAGAATATGTAGAAAATATAATTTTCAAGTGAAGCATGCATATATGCAAAGTTTAGCATTAAAAATATTGTCATAAATGATAAAGCTCCGAAAGACATCACCTCAACTTCGTTTTTAATTTTCCACTTCGTCTTACACGCCTCCTCCTGCACTTTTTCAAAAAACAAATACAAAAACAAGTACTACGAAATTCTAAGAAAAACAGAGCTTAAAAAAAAAATCAAACAAAATGAAATAAAAACCATGGGTTGCCTCCCATGCAGCACTGAATTTAATGTCTCCAGTTGGACTCCTTGATCTTACTCTTGAATTTCTTTTAATAATAAAATTTCTTTTTCTGCAAGGCGTTCATGTTCTATGTAATGTTTAAGCCGCTGTCCATTTACCTTAAAGTTATGATCACTTTTAGGATCTTTAATCATTATAGCCCCATGATCATATGTCTCTTCCACCACATAAGGCCCTTTCCATTTTGATTTTAATTTTCCTGGGAATAATTTCAGCCTAGAATCATATAACCACACTTTTTGTCCAACATCAAATTTTTTTCTGCTAATGTATTTATCATGAAAAGTTTTAGTTTTTTCTTTATATATTCTATGATTTTCATAAGCTTCATTCCTCAACTCCTCTAGTTCATGTAGTTGAAAAATTCTATGCCCACTAGCTGATTTTTCATCCATACATAATTTTTTTATAGCCCATAATGCTTTATGCTCTATTTCTACAAGAAGATGACATGGCTTTCCAAAAATGAGACGAAATGGGGACATACCTATGGGATTTTTATAAGCTGTTCTATAAGCTCATAATGCATCTTGTAATTTCGTGGGCCAATCTTTCCTATCTGGTCTAACTATTTTTTTCAAAATTCTCTGAATTTCCCTATTTGCTACTTCAGCTTGCCCATTTGTTTGGGGATGATATGGAGTGGCTACTCTATGGTGTACTCCATTCTTTTTCAACAGTTCTCTGAAATTTTTATTTGTAAAATGTGTTCCTCCATCACTAATAATCACTCTAGGACATCTAAATCTCGAAAAAATATTTTCCTGCACAAATTTCATCACAATTTTATGATCATTAGTTCTAGTAGGAATAGCTTCCACCCACTTCGACACATAATCAACAGCAAGCAAAATATATTCATATTTTTCAGCTGATGGGAAGGGACCCATGAAATCTATTCCCCATACATCAAAAATTTCGACTACTAACATGTTACTCATGGGCATTTCATCTTTTTTACTCATGTTACCTATAGATTGGCATGAAATACATGTTCTACTAAATTCTATAGAATCTCTAATGATTGTAGGCCAATAAAAACCACACTGAAAAAAATTTGCAGCTGTTTTTCGTCCAGAGAAGTGTCCTCCACAGTTAGATGAATGGCACATGTTAATAATGTTATGGTATTCTTCTTCAGGAACACATCTCCTTAAAATTTGATCATTGCCCAAGTAATATAAATCAGGATCATGCCAAAAATAATTTCTAATCTTAGAAAAGAAATGACTTTTTTTGTTCTTATCCCACTGTTCTGGAGTTTTTCTAGAAACTAGAAAATTAACAATATGTGCATACCATGGTGATGGTTGATGTTGAGCTGCCATCAATTGTTCATCTGGAAATGCGTCTTGTAAAGGTGCTGCATTTATTCCTGTGTCACTTAATCTAGAAAGATGGTCAGCAACAGCATTCTCGAAACCTTTTTTATCTTTTATTTCTAAGTCAAATTCCTGCAACAATAAAATCCATCTTAATAAACGTGGCTTTGCATCTTTCTTATTTAACAGATATTTTAATGCTGCATGATCAGTATAAATAATAATTTTAGCTCCCAAAATATATGATCTAAACCTTTCTAACAAAAATACTACAGTTAACAACTCTTTTTCAGTCGTGGTATAATTTAATTGAGCATCGGATATAGTTTTACTAGCATATGAAATTACTATGGGTTTTGACTCTTTTGTTTGTCCTAGAACGGCCCCCACTACATAATTTGATGCATCACACATTATTTCAAAGGGAAGGGACCAATCAGGAGCTTGTAAAATGGGTGCCTCAGTAAGTAATCTTTTTATTTCAGAAAAAGACTCAAAACATTTCTCATCAAAATTAAAAGGCACATCTTTAGATAATAGCATGGTGAGAGGTTTAGAAATCTTCGAAAAATCTTGAATAAATTTTCTATAATAACCTGCATGACCCAAGAAAGATCTAATCTGTTTTACTGAATTTGGAGGTTTCATTTTAGATATAATATCAATTTTTGCTCTATCCACCTCTAAACCCCTTTTACTCACAATATGACCCAACACAACTCCCTCTTTAACCATAAAATGTGATTTCTCCCAACTCAAAACTAATGTTTTCTCTATGCATTTCTCAAGTACATGCTGTAAATGATTTACGCATTCATCAAATGATTCACCAAAAATAGAACAATCGTCCATAAAAATTTTCATGCATTTTCCAATCATATCAGAAAAAATAGACAGCATACATCTTTGAAATGTGGTTGGAGCATTACAAAGACCAAAAGGCATGCGTTTAAAAGCAAAAGTACCAAATGGACAAGTGAAAGTTGTTTTTTCTTGATCTAAAGGGTTTATATAAATTTGATTATAACCAGAGTATCCATCCAGAAAACAAAAAAAGTTTTTTCCAGCTAATTTTTCTAAAATTTGATTAGTAAATGATAGGGGAAAATGATCTTTTCTAGTAACTGAATTTAATTTTCTATAATCAATGCAAACCCTCCAACCGGTAGTTAATCTTGTTTGTATTTCATCCCCATTTTCATTTTTTATAACCGTGATCCCTGATTTTTTTGGCACTACTTGTGTAGGACTAACTCATTTGCTATCTAAAATAGGATAAATAATATCAGCAGCCAGCCACTTTAAAATTTCTTTTTTTACAATTTCCATCATGTTAGGATTTAATCTTCGTTGTGGTTCCCTGCTAGTTCTGGCCCCCTCCTCTAGATATATACTATGCATGCATACACTCATATCAATGCCCCTTAGATCGTCCTTTTTCCAGCCCATAGCCTTCTTATTTTTTCGAGGTACATCTAATAATTCTTCTTCCTGTTCATCACTCAAATCAGCTACAATAATAATAGGAAATGAATTATTTTCCTCCAAAAACATATATTTTAAACTAGAGGGAAGAGGTTTCAACTCTAAATTCAGATGATCTTCTTCTTTCTTTTCTCCCAAATTTATATTCTCTATTTCCTCTAATTCTTCCAGCACACAGTCATCAATAACATCTGGATCATCAAAATAATCTAGAAGATCTATGGTATGACAATCATATACTTGTGATTTCTTAAGATCATTTGGTACCTCAAAAATTTTAATTTCTACTGATTGATCTCCACATGAAATTTTTGCAATACCTGTGGGAAAATCAATATTCATCTTTGCTGTATGCAAAAATGGTCTCCCTAGGATGATTGGCGTATCATAAAACTGTCCATTAAAATCCATTTTCAGCACTACAAAATCAGCTGGAAATTTACACCCTTTAACTGTCACTATCACATTTTCTAAAATACCTTTAGGATGTTTTATGGATCTATCAGCAAATTGTAAGGTAACAGTAGAAGGTTTAAGATCAGAAATATTAAATTTATCACAAATACTTGCAGGTAATAAATTAATACTAGCACCGGTGTCAAGTAATGCATTCTGAAAAATGAATCCACCAATATCACACGAAATTAAAGGGGCACCTGTATCTCTCAATTTATATGGTAATTGATTTAATAATAATGCACTAGCATGCATAGATAATTTTTCTACTCTAGGTGCCCTTTTTGGTGTACACATTTCTTTCAAAACTCTAGCATATTCAAGAATATGTTCAATGGCAGTGAGTAAAGGAAGGCTAATTTGCACATCTTGTAAAATTTTCTTTATTTCTTCATTGTGTTCCTTTTTCTTTCTTTGTCTAGGCTCTAGAGCTTTAGGAAATGGAATGGTCGTCCTCTCTTTCGAAATTTCTTGGGTAGAATCTATAAAATCCTCTTCTACTCCTATTTGATTTTGTTTTGGTTTGTCCACGTTTTCTTTTTCTTCTAATGTTTGGGGATAAGGATCAGGTAAGATCTTACCACTCCTTAATGCATTCACTATCCTAACATTTTCATTTCGTGGGTTTTTTCCTAGATTCATGCTACTAGACTCCGCTTGCTGAAATCCTATTGTTGGGCGGTTCCCTGGATTTTCTATGGGCTGACTAGGTAGTTGTCCCTCTTCTCTCTTATTCCCAAGAGCCTCTATAATTTGTTTCTGGTGCAGCATCATTTGATTCATAGTTTGTTGCATCATTTGGCTCATTTGCTGCATCATTTCCATAGCATCAGGTTGGATTTGAGAGGGCTAATTTTTCTGAAATCTGTTTTCTTGTTTTGGACGAAATTTAGAGTTTGAATTGGGTCTAAGTGCTTCTGGATTTTGAATATTATTTGGGTCTCTCCATGAAAAATTATTCCTCCAATTAGGATTATAAGAATTTGAAAAAGGTTCCATGTTTCTATTAAAACCGTGAGCTACTTGCACTTATTCTTGCATAGGGTGAAATGATTGATCTAAATTATAACATTGAAATTCAAAATAATCATTTTCACCATACATAGGACATGTACTATTTGAATTAAGTTGAGGGTTAAAAGGCTTTCTAATATTGTCAATAAGTAAATCAATTTTTTCTAATCTTTGATTAATCTGATTAACCTCATTTCTAAGTTTAGAATCATCATCATGATGCAATTCATAAATTCCTCTCTTCTTATCCCTGTCATATAATTCAAAAGAGGCTTGATCTCTAGAATTTTCACTTAAATTCTCATAAAGACTGTAAATCTCATCAGGAGTTTTCTTCATAAAAGCTCCTCCACATATAGAATCAACCATATTTCTATGTTGTTCTAATAATCCATCATAAAAAATTCTATTGAGCTGCCACTTGGGTATAGCATGATGAGGACACTTTCTAAGTAAATCTTTAAATTTTTCCCATGTCTCATGCAAAGTTTCTCTTGGTCTTTGAGAAAAACTCCATATATGTTTTCTCATATTTTGAGTTTTTCCTAAGGGATAAAATTTTCGAAGAAATGCCTATTCTATGTCTTTCTAGCTAGTTAATTCTCTATCTAATGTGGATAGCCAATGGCTAGCTTTGTCCCTAAGTGTATGAGGGAATAATTTCATCTTAATAATTTTCGGTGTAACTTGAGGGAGATTAACTAAATCACAGACCATATGAAATTTTTCTAAGTGCTGATGAGGTTCCTCTAAAGGCAATCCATGAAAATTAGGGAGCATTTGAAAAATTCCTGGATTTATTTCGAATTTAACATTGGGTGCTAATGGGACTCTAATATTGGATGCTCTTTGAAATGAATCAGGGATATAATAATTTTTCATGGCCATAAGATTTTTCTCAGTTTGACCTGTACTTTCTTCAGGATCTATCAAAATTATTTTTTCTTTCGGATTTTTAGTTTTGAATGAAATAATGAAAGGATTTTCTAGCCTCGGATGCAAAGATCTTCTTCCATGCATAAAAATCAATAAATTTGAGGGAAAAATTTAGTAACTGTTACCCTCCTTCAGGATGCTCCAGTCCTTGCCTTGCTTCTTTTCGTTTCCTTTTTCTAATAAAAAATCAGCAAAAAGAAAATAAAACAAGAGTTAATTTCTTTTTGTGTACTCTAAGAGAAAAACAGAAAAATACTAAATATTATGCAATACATCCCCGGCAACGGTGCCAAAATTTGACGTGACTCAGTCGTTGTATATTAAATCACGCAAATCTAAAATTTATAAAACTAGAAAATACGAATTTTCAGATATTTAGAAGTATTTCTGAATAAATATATCAATTATAATTCAATAAAACTTCCAAAAATAGCGGTAATTTTCCAGGTCGATCACAGGGATGTAATATAATATTTGGTAATTATTCAGAATTTGTCTCAATGAATACGATTTTCTATTAATTTTATACTAGGAAATAAAAAGGAAATATATTTAAAATTCACGAAAAAGAAGGAAATAAGGGTGCGGACATTGAGATGACGTCATCACCCGGCGAACGCGAATCGGGCAGAAACAGAGTTCCGCCCGACGATTCTTACGAAAGCGATTATAGACGATTTAGTTAATCAAATTAAGATCTGTAAAAGCCGAAAGAATCGTAATAGAACAAAGTATATTTTGGTAAATTAAAATCACAAAAAGTATCACTAAATGAAGCGTAAAGTAAGTTTGAAAGCAGGAAAACAGAGTTCCGGCGTCGCGATGGCGATGCGTCGGCGATGCACCAGAATCCTGAGCGTTCGGGAGGATCGTCGTGCAGTGTCCACAGCCTCGAAGGCTCTCCTTGGGCAAAGACGACGTGGGCAATCTCTAGATCTTCTCGCGAAGTCTAGAAATTAATGAAATGGGCCGCCGAGTCGTCTTCGGCGGCTGTCACCCGACAGAGCGGAAAAACGGCGACTTTGCGGCTCTCCGGCGGCTGTCACCCGACGGAGAGGAGCTGGATGGAGGTGGGGCGCGTGTCAGGGAGCTTCATCCTCAGGTCCGCGCAGCAAGAGGAGGCTCTTCATCGCATCTGGTATGCTCTCAGGAGGTGGCGACTCGTCTCCTGGCGGATCGTCCTCTTCCCGACGACGGCTTGTTCGTCGATCAATCGGAGATGATTTACTCGATGGATTCGCAATCCTTTTATCATGAATCATTCAGCAATTTTAGTAGCAATGCTCCGCGAATCGCGTTGACGAGATTTTCGCCGATGATCTAGCGATTCTGGTTGCTTAATCCTTCACCGACGATCTGCAGGAAAGTTGCGATAATCAGATAAAAATATATGAATTTTGACTCTGGGAGGATTCGAACCCGCGCCGGTTGTCCGTCCCTTCTGAGGAAGGTGTGACGCAGGTTTAGTCCCACATTAGTTGTGCGCCGATTTTTCAAGCGAATATATAGTAATATTAGCTTTTTAAGCAAAGTCCCTTCTCTTGCATGTACAATCACTCCTTGCCCCACAGCCGGCTGGCCACCGGTGACGTGGAAGGGGAGTGGCGCACACGTGCCCCTATCGGTCCAAGCCGCTCGAGCCCCTGCTCGCAGCTACTCCCCGACTGAGCTTCCAACCCGCTTGCGGGCCCGGCTGGCCGGCGGGTCCCCCCCATTTTGCAATATTTTATTTCTTTTTCTTCATTTATCTTAAAAGTAAGACTGTAAAAATCATATAAATTCGTATAAAATCACATAATTACCTAAAAAATCACATTAATCAACTGAAAACCACTTTTCACACTTTAACACAAATATAAGTCTATTTATCACGAGTTAAGGCTAAAACTATATTATTTACTAATTATTAACTCATGATAATGAAGACTTATCATATCTTGAATACATTTAAATTATTTTGTAAAAGAGCAAAGCATATATAATTTCATAAGTTAAAAAGATAAAAATCAGCATAGTATATAATGACTGTTTACTTAGAAATTCTATTGAGAGTTGGATTAATGATTTAGTATATCGAGCTTAAAGGTTCAATACATGAAATTTACAAGGTAACAACTAATATGATGAGTCACACATCTTAGTGCATACAAATTAATGTGGAATACAAGCATTGAGTATAATACTAGTACTTCAATAATCTATATATGAGTGTTTGAGCCCTAGTTCACAACATCTCCCTCTCTCTCTCTCTCTCTCTCTCTCTCTCTCTCTCTCTCCCCCCAACACTCCCCATGTCTTCTCTTTCATGAGACAAATCTAGAGGACTAGTTTATTTGCCATCGACAAGAAAATGTGATCTTTGATTTGATGATCTTCTCCATAGAAATTTAGAGAGAGAACCAGCTGCCTTTACCTCAATCTTTATCTATCCCCTCTAGCACTTAATAGTATACAAGTTCCATAGTTTATGGAATATTAGGAAAGACCATATTATAGTGTATACAATATAATGACTCATTTATTTTTATATGAATCAATATGAGAATTACTAAAATGACCAAAAAATATATTTTTATTTTTTTTCCAAGTCTTAATTCATGTTGATCCAAAATAGATCAATGCTTACACTTAGGAAATAGTGTATTGATATTTTAGGTGTTTTATATGAATCAAGGCTTGAAGTCGAACCAAATCACCAAGATTTCAATAAAAATGTTAACACATTGACTATTACGAAATTTAAAAAATACAAGTGTTAACACTCACACAAGTTTGTTGATACTCGGTTTGAATCATTATATGTAAAACTTTAGTGTTAAGTGATGATTTAATATTTATATTTCTTTATGTGTCATTTATATATTTAAAATATTTAATATATTCAAAAAAATATTATCTCAGTTTTTTATCAAATGATTTTGAGATTATTACTAAAAATTAAATCCAAGGTGTTAATCTTTGAGATTTAGTGATTATATACCTTATGAATACTTAAGGATTAAAAATTAGCTGAAGAATCATATATTTAAAACAAGGTTAAATATATAGTTATATAATAAAAGTTAATGAAAAATATGAAAAATAGTTAATCGTTGATTATATGATGATCTAACTATATCATGTATTGTTTATTATTTCAAAGTGATGTTAGAAGATTTTTCTAGAATATCACATGCATTAAGTCAGTGAGAAAATGAGAAAAAGGATCAGATATTTAAGATTCAAAGAGACCATCTTGATAGTGACATGTTAACTGATTATGTGGACAAAAGAAGAAGTTAAATTTTATGATATGGATCTGAAGTTACAAAGCTCTAGTGCAAATCTGAATTGAAATGGCTTTGAAAATAAAGAGATTTGAAAATTAGAAAATCCAATCATCATTACTAGATATTTCGAAAAATAGTAAGTTTATGCAAAGAATTTTGAACTTTAAAATTTTGATAAAATAGGAACTAGTCGAATATAAAGGTTTACTTAAGACAGAAGAGTTCTTAATCGAAACATAAATGTATGACACAAAGATTCAATGTTTACCATCAAGTTCTATGCACTGCACTCATAAACAAAGCATGAGAATACTACATCTTTTTCATCAGCTCAATCTGATGTAACTATTTCATGAACAGAGAGCATACTGGACAAAATCACATAGTGCTAGTAGTCATAATTGACCCAAGATGACCTGGGTCTCTAAGGAGATAAACTTGAGTTGTTTGGATGGATGATCTTGTGAATCAGGATGTATTCCTAAGAAAATAAGTGAATACTAGAGGTAAGTTCCCTATGGGACTAGAAATAGTTAGGAAAAGGGAAAACTAGTATAAAAAGTTTGTCTTTTTGATAACAAAGTGCTAATAGAATCATAGTTGTTAACCTTTGGTAAGAATTTTAAATCAACTAAATAAAAGAAATTAAATGTTTCCTGACCAATGAAGAGGAAATTTTAGAAAGGCTATTTGGAGATTTTTAAGCTTTCAATAGTAAATTTGAATATATACTTGTAATCCTAGTAACCATTAGTCTCTAAATCTTCAAATGTTCACTATACTTAGTCCTCATAGAGGTTGTCCATCTTGAAGATTTTTTGAGATATTTCTAATATGATTTCCACTAAGATGTACACACTTCTGGTTACAACCTTATACACAACCTTGACATGGCATCACTAGGTGGTATCATTATCATAATAAGATCATCTTAGCAACTTGTGTCTTAGAGATCAAGATTTTCCCATTCAAGTTTCTCCACAGTAATCTCAAATTTAGGCACAAACTTTGATGTTTTTTCTGTCTCATTATTTATCTAAAGCCAAACTTTTATTCACCGCACTAACTCTACCATTTTATCACAACTCCTTGCTAGACTTGTAATCCACAATTGTAGGTTACAAAATGGATAAATAATTGAGCTCATTAGCGACTGATGCCTCTCACAAAGAATGAGGACATGAGGCTCTAATCCAGCTTGGATAAGAGGCCCTAGACCCCTCCCCTTTGGGTCATACTCGGATAGCTGCCATATGGTCTATGCATGCCATCCACTTGCATTTTGGTGCACATACTTATGGATCACTGCGCACTTGCTTGTTCGCTCATTGGTGCCTGTGCACTTTGCATCCACACTCACCGTCACCTTTGACACTTCCATGTCTTTATCATCTAGCATCAGCCCGCACACTTCTATGTACCCTGGTAAATTGTCTATAGCGCCAACACCTGCCAACAGGCCTCCACACTTGTAGGCCATTGCATGTAGGTGTTCATGTCCACCCAGGTACATTTGACTGCCCTTGTTTGGGTATATTTGAGGCAACTTGTACACACCAGCCAACCTTCAGGTCTCTTCTCACCGGTCATCTTCACCTATCTTTGCATCCGCTCCTCCCAAGTTGGGTCTGCCACATCTATTGTTACCACTCATCTTTGAATTAAACTAGTTTATCCTTCTTT